TAAATAACCCCTTAAAACATAACTGGTGTGGGATTGATTCGTTAATACTCACTGTTCACCATCATGCCCCAGGAGCCACCAGCAGATACTTAGTACAGTGCCTGTTTTATTAACTGATCCACAAACATATTTTAAAATGTGGACAGTCTGATATTCTAACGCAGGAGGCTGGAGACACAGTCCGACACCTCAAAGGATTCTTCTATGTCCCTCTGGTGCTCTCACATGTGGTTCCTTATTTGACTCACAGAATCTGGGAACATTCTAAATTACACATTGTCTCCTTTGTTCTCCTAAGGATTCTCCATGCGCAGGAGAAAAATTTACTCGTCACATAAACCTGCTGAGAAAAACTCTTGTTTTAGTCCTACTGACCTGCCAAAGAAAACTTCTAAAGAATATACTCTATCTTCCTCAGAAAGAGGCAAAGGGTACCATACCAAGTTTCTACTTCACCCAGAACCCAAGATCCTCACAGTCGCTTCTCCCCAACATGGACCTCTACATATCAGCATGGGCAAAAAAAAATATTCACAGCCACCCTTCAATGGCTGGAGTCAATCAATTACCATAAAGGGCTCTCTCCCAAATTAGCCTGAGAATCCAGGATTCGGATTCCACAGCACTGTGAGTACAGAGGGATTCCAACTAATAACTGCTTCTCTCGGATTTGCAACGACACCATCAGAGCAGTTCATACTTCATCTCACGCTCACCAATGAGGCATAATCCTCACAGGCAGGTTAATTCTCTGGTGTATTCATCAGGATGTAAGAAATATTTGTTGGTTGGGCTATATGATGTAACTAAGTGGCAGAGCATTTGCCAAATCATACATGAGACTCTAGGTTTGACCCCTAGAACCATAAAATACATAATAAAAATGTATTGGTTGAGACAAAATATTTTGTTGCTAAAACAAAGTCCAATCCTGTCCTATCTGCCCAGTGCTCTCTCCCACTGGTTCTCTCATAAGCATCTTTTTTATTTCAACCAAAACAAAATATTTTTCTGTTCCCCAAACACATACAGAAACTACCACAGGCAGTCAGAATTCACTTACTGAAATGATTCAAGTAACAAAATTTGCTTTTAGCCCTAATTGGTGGTGAAAATGTTTGTAATTCTTTCATCTGTAGAAAGTAGTACAACTTCCTACATTTAGGTCATGTTTTAATACTACATGGTTATATATATTGAAAACATGTGTTAGTACAGATAAATTATATCCATGTTCACATGTGCAATTCTGAGGGCATGAAAAACACAAGTACAAATCCTGGGCCAGAATACTTTTGATTGCTCTGTTTTAAAAAACAAAACTTACTATAGCTAACAATGTGGCTGGGGCCATACTGCCATTCAAGATACAAACCACCAGACACACCTCCAGTACAACCTAAGTCAGTGTGAAGACTTCTTTCAGGAGTCTGGTAGACACTCTTCATTCATTTCTGGAGTTAGCAGGCAATAACTGATCATGATGTCTAAACTATTCTCTGGGTGCCATCAATGTCAGAGACACACAGCACCACACCTTAAAACCAGCTTGCTCTCTTCTTGAAAGAGACATGACCTGCATGTCCTTTCCTCTGTGCTATGATGTTTGAAGGCTTCATGCATACACAGAGTATCATTTTACCATCCTGACTTCTGTGGTAGGAAACATACTACTTGGATTACCCTCTACTACCTACTAGGTTGAGCGTGAATAGGCCTTGTAAATGTTCTTCCTCTCTAATAAAGGCACACTATTTCATGTGAATCAATTACCAGAAAATCATAAGCCAACAATATATACTCAGAATAATCAAACTAGTTATATGAACAAATAAGCACATCCTAAACATACAACTATAATGTGTACTTGAATAAACTATTATTATAAAATTTTGTCCTTAAAGGTTTTTATATTTCTTTAAAACATGTAGTATTTTACTAAGTAAATGGCATCAAACTGAATTCAATAATCCTATAAAAAAAAATCACTGTCTGTTATGGCTGTGCTGTGATGTTAAGCAAGCAATGTAAAACCAGCACTGCACAGACACATGTACTTGGAGGCCTTTGCCAATGAGAAACCACACAGCTTTCAGTCCAGACTACAGGACACTATATGGAATGCTAAAGAGTCAAAACAACCCAGTCTTGGGGTTACCTTTCCTGATCGCTGAGTTTGGAATACATGGCTTCCACCAACTCCGGGCTTTTCAGAAAGTGGTCTGCAATAATCAAGAACCTACAGGGAAAAGAAAGGGAAATTTGGTTACTACATACAGTGAAACATGCATGTCCTTACCTACTTTATAGACACATCTCACATAAAAGAAAAGCCTTTCACTTCATTGAACTTTCTTACTATAGTCTTTTAAAAATATTATGTGTATACATATGGTCATTTTGCCTGTATGTATGTACTTGCTGCATACATGTGGTACACCTACATGTATGCCTAAGACAGAAGCCAGAAGAGGGTGATGTATCCTCTGGAACTGGAGTTACAGGCTGAGTATGGTGAGCCACATCATGGGTGTTGGGAACTGAACCCAGGTCCTCTGTAAGAGCAACAAGCACTGTTAACCACTGAGCCATTTCTAAAGCCCTAACTTTACTATGATTTTCTGTTTTAGGAGGTTCACAAATTATTTTTTTTTTGGTAGTAACAAGGTGGGGGTATTCCAATTTTCCATGTGAAATTTTATGAAAATAATTCAGTTGGTTCAAATAGAAAAGCAAATCTACTTCAGCTTTTATCCAAGCTTTTCACTATGAACAGGAACATAAAATTTAGCTACAATTTCAGATCTAGACAGAAAACATAACACACGATTTTAGTCAGAAGCTGTAAGACGAGGCAGAAAAATGAACATGTCATATTGTTATTTAAAGATATGCCGACAATGCAGTGATGAATCCTGGCTTGATTTTCTGCTCTTTAAGAGTACTCAAGTTACCAAGAAAACATCCACGTTGTCAAGCACTGTGCTCATCTGGACAGAGAGAGGACTATGGAAGCCTGAGGCAAAGATTATAAACATATTTCTTCAAAGTACCTCTGTGACATCTAAAAAGATTGAATACCATTATTAGTTCTCAATTTTATCTAAAAGAAGGTACCAGTAAGACTTAAGAACTATGGAATATGATGTTTATAAATACTGTTATAGTAATAAAAGTTGAGTATAAAGTAGCAAATACACTAATATACAATTTACTCTCTCATTAACAAGTAATGTCATTGAGTGTGATAATCAAATGACACACACCAGTTACCACCACACTGCCCTCTCCTAAACATAAACCCAGCACTGGTAGTAGCTCAGCTGCGCTACCTACAAAAGCCCTGTGGCCCACCCCCACTATCTCTGGGGAAAAAAATCTAAACAAGTATTCTATTTTGTCTACAGATCGTTAAAATTGCCAATCACTACTCAGATTTAAATATTTCTAACAATAATGAATAATAATTAAAAATGTCAATAGTATTCATATTAATTTAGGCAGTTTATCAAATGGAGTAAGCATTCCAAGCTAGGTTCACAAATAAAACTGAAATCCCAAAGCCCATTCATACATAATTTGGTTATTTGGAAACCAAAACTTTTCTCATGAGAACATCTGTTAAAAACACAATATTCAATCAAATATGGTAGTGTGCCTATGATTCTAGAACAAGGGAAGCTTATGCAGAGAGACTGCCAAGTTCAAGGCCAGCCCAGACAACACAGCAAGATTATCCTCCCATGACACTACTACCCAAAAAACACAATATTGCAACTAGAAAATAAATTTTACTTCCCCAAATACTCCTCAACAGTAGAGAAAAAGCCACAACTGCCAGATGACCCAGCTATTTCACTCCTGGGCATATTAGCCAGCAAATGCCATACCTTGCTATAGAGATATTTGCACTTCCATGTTTGTTTATGGCTGCTTTATTCAGTATAGCAAATAATTGGAATCAACCTAATTGTTCACTGAGAAATTAACACAATATTAAACACATAATTGTGTTAATCAATATTAAACACATGCATACACTCACACAAATACTATTCAACTCTAAAGAAAAATGCAATTAAAAAATGATAGGAAAAGGATGGATTTAGAATGTATTATATTACTCTAAGTCACACAATCTCAAGACGGGGAAAAAAACGCATTCTCTCCTGGATGCAGAATCTAAACAAAAACATATGTAGACAAGTGTACATGTGGGTACAGTATAACATATAGAAAAGACAACAAGAAAGAATAAATATTGGTGGATAAAGAAATGAATGTAGGTATGGACACAAGTTATGAAAAGATATTTTTTAAAAAGCTAAGTGATTTTCTAGTTCTAATTCTATCATATATATTTGAGATTTGGTGGGGAGGGGTAAGTGGATAAAAACATATCCAAAGATGAATGTGTAAAATCTGATGTGTAGCTCCACAGACTCAGAATGGCTATTCTAAATATGAAGTTCATTGGAGAGTATTGGGGGGGGGGGTTTCTCTGTCTGGAACTCACTTTGTAGATTAGACTGGCCTCAAACACACACACCTGCCTCTGCCTCTTGATTATTGGGATTAAAGATATGCGCCGCCACCACCGCCAGGCTATGTGACCATTTTTATTTGCAAAATTTTCATAATAAGCTTATGAAAAAAACTGTAAGTACAGAAAAAGGCATTATCCAACTACTTAAACCAAACGCAATGCCAAAGACTTTCTCACCTACACTTTCATGTTACTCCAGGACATCCAAACAGATTTGGAGCTATTACATCTTTCCTTTTCTAAGACTAATGAAAAAAAAATGAGAAGATAATAAAACCTCATGCTACTGGTGCTCTTTATCAGTCATCTGCACGTTCAACCAAGGGAAAGAGGGCAGAAAGGGGGTCTTCTCCAATTTTCAGGAACCTGTTTAGACTTAACAGTAAAGTAATTTCTGGAGGCCTCTGTATGGTTCCAGCCAAATGCAGCCCACGAGCAGAGTTACCAGTTGAGGCCTACCTCCCCGGTGCTCCCGTCCACTTGGTGACCACTGAGTTTCTGAGGTACTCTCAAGGAGATTTTGTATCTGCCCACTATGAGCTCAGTTCTTTATTCCAAGCTGGTAAGATACAACCTCAGATACCTATCAAGTACCTACCAAATAAAACAGAACTTCGCTACAAGTTGGCTCTAAGTAAGCTGACTCTGAGGACTCATCCTGAATGACAGTAAAAGTTACATGTGCATACTGAGGGGTGTTTTCCAAGTAAAACATGTAAGATTTTCATATGACAGCAGCTGTATATGGTAATTCAAATAAAAATGATATCCAAAAAAGTAAATCATTTTAAATTTAGATAAAACTTCAACATAATAATATTTCATCTAAGAGGCTCAAACTGAAAAGGTTTATACTTTACCCAAGGCTCACTACAGAAGGTCACCTAGGTCCTGATCACACTGCCCATTGTTAGGAATAAATCCACAAAGATGCTTATATTAATAGGAAAGAACTACTAAAATGTGAAAAATAAAAAATAAAATACAGACAACAAAATTTTTACAATGAAAACCAGGTCAATTTGTTAAGAGATAATGTAATAATTGCAAATATAAACATCACACGATGATGTAACAGCTATAAACATAGACACTACATGATTACGTAACAACTATAAACACAGACACTACATGTATACACTTCACAAGCCTGAAAACAAATACAGCAACCTGTACAATATGATAGTATACATGAGCGACCCCAAAAACTCTACCAAAGAACTCCTACAGCTGATAAACACCTTTAGTAATGTGGCAGGATACAAGATCAACTCCAAAAAATCAGTTGCCCTCCTATACACAAAGAATAAAGAAGCAGGGAGGGAAATCAGAGAAACTTCACCTTTCACGATAGCCACAAACAGCATAAAATATCTTGGGATAACTCTGACCAAGGAAGTGAAAGACATATTTGACAAGAACTTTAAGTCTTTGAAGAAAGAAATTGAGGAGAATACCAGAAAATGGAAAGATCTCCCCTGCTCTTGGACTGGGAGGATCAACATAGTAAAAATGGCAAGCTGAGACATTTGTACCATGTTCATTCAGACACCAAAACTGGCCTTCCCTCTCCTTACCACCTTTAGAAACTCCTATTTGGGGCTGGAGAAATGGCTCAGAGGTTAGAAGCATTAACTGCTCTTCAAGAAGTACTGAGTTCAATTCCCAGCAACCAGATGGTGGCATACAACCATCTATACTGACATATGATGCCCTCTTCTGGCATGCATGAAAACATACAGATAGAACACTCTGTGTGTGTGTGTGTGTGTGTGTGTGTGTATTTTTTGAGACAGGGTTTCTCAGTAGCTATGGAACCAGTCCTAGAACTCGCTCTATAGACAAGGCTGGCCTCAAACTCACAGAGATCTACCTGTCTTTGCCTCCTGAGTGCTGGGATTAAAGGAGTTTTGTGAGGAGCATGAAGCCCTTTGATCCGTCCCACCCGGTCCAGCTAGCTTAACCCCCGAAATAACCACACAGAAATTGTATTAAGTAAATTACTGCCTGGCCCATTATATCTAGCCTCTTCTTGGCCAACTCTCACATCTTGATCTAACCCATTTCTATTAATCTGTGTTCACCACAAGGTCATGGCTTACCGGGAAAGATTCTAACCAGCATCCATCTTGGGCAGGAGAACCATGGCATCTGCCTGTCTGTCTTTCTTCCCAGCATTCTGTTCTGTCTTCCCCACCTATCTAAATTCTGCCCTATCAAAAGGCCAAGGCAGTTTCTTTATTCAACCAATGAAAGCAACACATATACAGAAGGACCTCCTACACCAAAGGCATGTGCCACCACCGCCCAGCTAATGAATAAAACTTAAAAAAAAAAGGAAAGAAAAAGAAAAAGAATCTCCTACTCAAGGCTAAGCCCAGCCTTTACCTTTTTCACAACCTCAAAAGAACTACCATACCTCGAGTTTTTACTTAAAACTTCTACAAAGGGGTGAGACTGTAGCTCAGTGGGAGAGCTCATCTACATGAACTCAACTAATCTGCACCACAAAAAAGTAAATAAATTAATAAATTAATAGCTGGAATAAGTCAGATGTGGAAGTCACAATTTCAGCTCCTGAGAGGCTGAGGCAGGGGATCAAATCTTGAAGACTAGCCTAGAAAACAAGCAGGCCCTGTCTCAATATACTACTAAAACCTCTATAAGGAAAATGATCTGTTAGGGTGGCCTCAAATAAATTTCCAGCAAGATACTTACGGCCATTCTGACTCTGGATGCTTTTGGTGAGCTTCTATGACATTAATTGCAATATTGAGGTTTTCTTCCAGGTCTTTCATTCTTTCAGGATTAAGAGATGTGAACAAAATCATTGAACAGTAGGCAACAATCTTTTTGTCTGGGTGATTTAAGCAAGACCTGACAAACAAAGAAATTAGACTCTTAGTCCAATTATCAAACCAGTAAAATAAGATTGTAACATAAATAATAGTAATCCTTGGTATATATTGGTATTTTTAGGATATAATAAATATGTGTGAAACAATGGTGCTGTGAAACAAAGCATATCTTTGACTATAAAAACAGTAAATATAACAGTAAGATACAATGAAGTAGGACTGGAGAGATGATTCAGTGACTAAAAGCACAAATTGTTCTTGCAAAGGATACAAGTTTGGCTCCTAGCACCTACCCCTGGAGGCTCACAACTGCTTATAACTTCTGGCTCCAAGAGACCCAACACTCTTTTGACTAAGGGCAACTTTATTCATACACTCTACCCACACACAAACATGTATACACATATATAATTACAAATAAAAATAAATCTCAAAAAAGACAATAAAAAATTGCATGTGATTTAGGACTCAGAACTGAAAAGTAACATTTAAATATAGAAAAAAATTAGAATGATTACTCCTAAGTCCTATTAGCTACAAGAACTTAGTGAAATCACTTATTGTCAGTTATATCATGGCTCATCCTAAAATTTGATTTTTGTCCCCACTTAAACTTCACAACTCAGGCATGGTGATGCATGCTATTAATGGCAGTATTCAAGAGGCAGAGGCAAGTGGATCTCCTGAGAATTACAAGGTCTAGCCCTGTTAACATAGCAAGTTTTAGGCCAGGTAGCCAGAGATACAAAGTGACACCTTGTCTATTTTTTTAAAAAAAAAAAAAGAAAAAGAAAAAGAAAAAAAGATAGGTACACCAATGAGATTGCATAGCCAATAAGGGAGCTTGCTACCAAACCTGATAACCTGACTTCCATCTCTAGAACCCATGCAAAAGTGAAAAGGAAAGAACCGACTCCTGAAAGTTGTCTTAGGCTTCCACATAATTGCCATAGCACAAACACATGTATATACATACAGTTAATAGAAAATGTTAAAAAAAACTGTAAAATAATTCATATGAATTTATATAGCTTGAGATTCATTCTTTCCATCCACAGTTTATTATTAATTGTAAAGATAACAGATATATACCTATAAATAAATATTTATTAATAGATACATATGTATAAACACACACTTCAGGCATCTGAGAAACGTACTCTGAGCTAGAACTAAATAAGAGTTCATCTAATAACCATAACTTATATACAAGCCCAGAAAACAAGCACAACCAGAGAGAGAAGCTCAGACCTTATACAGCAGCACTTAGCGTCACAGTGCAGTTATACCCTTTACTATTGACAATCTATAGAAATTTCACCTGTCTACAGGACTTATAACAACAGAGATAATCACGCCCAACTTAAAGCACTTCAGTAATAGCTGCTGTCCTGCTACCCACACTGCTCACACTAGAAACTTGGCCTCCACAACCACTACACAGTGTCCCTCTACTGCCTATTCACTTCTGTCACCAATTTATATTTTACTGTGATGCTCAACTAATTACAAATTAATAGAGCTAGTGTTTTAAAGTAATACGTAATATGAACCAATTCAAGATCCAATATAAATAACCAGACTGGTTATAGACTCCTTACAGCAGTCATCAGACTGGTCAACCACATTTATAGTAATGAATAAGCTCAGAACTCATCTCTTAACACTGGCAAAGGGAACAGAATTATCTTCTAGTGACAGATTACCACATTACTCAGAATGAACAACAGAATGGCTACCCCCACTTCTCACAGTCAAAGTCATCTCACACTGATAAGCACATGCTATCCAAACGTTATAATTCTCCATTTCTACCAAAAATAGTATTGGGCCGTGTATGTGCACAACCGTAAAAAATAAAGGATTAACTCACTGCCCATATTTTAATGTCTTCTGTTTGTAGGGGTTTTTTTTTTCTGTATCAATTTCAGGGTCCTTAATGAAGTCACTACTTTCCTCATGATCTTTATTTCCTAAAGATAAATTGGCATGTTCCAGGGCCACACAGCTTGGTACAGAGCTCAGTGAGTATCAGACATGTGCATCATGGAACCACCACACAAACCAAGGTACAGAACACTGGCAGGGCCCAGGAGTCTCCTTTATAACCTCTCTCAGCTAACACCTACCTGATAACAGCCACAAAGAATAAAGAATATGTACTATCCTGAATTCTATTACTACACTATGACCTTGTTTTTCTTGCTTGTGAACTTCATACATAAAAATGAAATTATATCTACAATCTTTTCAGGAGTCGGTCAAAAACAACAACAACAAAAAAATCAAAAATCTTAACATCATACTCACATAAAAAGCTCTGGGAAAGCATGGACCCAAACAATGGCCTGGGAATCTTCATTCCGTGAGGCAATGTTGCCTAAAAACTGCAGGCCACAACGAAAAGCTAGAAATATAGAAAAGTAAAAACTGAAGATAACAGACTCAACATAAGGAATAAACACATCTTAGTAATAAATATTTCCCATGTTGTTACATAGGAGAGTAAAAAAGAGAAAGGAAGGAGGGATGGAGGGAGGTAGAGAAGGAAGAGAGAGAGGAGGGAATTAGAGAGAGGAGAAAAATTGATTGGTTATCTGAGAATCCCACTGCACAATGAAATTCTGAGCATGACATTAATATACCTCATCAAAGCAATGCTGTAAAATTAACTTCTTAAAGATTATAAACTAAAATATAATTATATGAAATATTATTCAAATTATATGAAATTTGAATAATGCTCCAATTAAAAGTTCACTACAAATTAGGTATGTCTGCACATGTAATCAAGGCATTCCAGATGCTGAAACAGGAGGATCATGCTAACAAAAGACATGCCAAGACCAGTCCAATAAAACTGTCTCAAAACAAAACACAGCTATATTTAAGAATGAATTTTTAAAAAGCAACAAAGTTTTTTTAAAACATACCTAGAACATAAGGTTATAGAAATACTGCAAGTTAAAGAAAGTTAAAAGGAGACAGATCAAATATCAGTCAAAAAGTAGAAATAGGCCACTTAAAATTCGATATAATATGTATTAATGCAAAAGACGTTACTGGAAATATGTTAAATAATCATTACAGACATGTAAAAATTCTAAATTGGAAGTTATCTAGTAATATACTGTCAAATATAAAGAAAAACTGACCACAGTAAGTGAGAAATATTGGCAATAAGTTGAACAGTTCTAAGATACCTTTTCTCAACAAATCCTAGAAGAAGCAGACAAAAATACCACTATATCTCAAAGACCTGAGTAAAATTTAATAAAAACCTAACTGACATTTAGAATATAATGCAGCAAAACAATGGCCACAAGCTCAGAAAAGTGACCGCACCAAATGCTAGGGAGATTATGTGGAACGCAAACTCTCATGTACTGTAGGTAAAAACAGAACATGGTACAGTCCCTTTGGAAAACAGTTTGTCAATTTCTTACAATGAAACACAACAAAGTCACAATGACACAATTAACAAAGGTATCAAAACATAAATGAAAGTGATATATATACAGCTAAAGTAGAAATACAAACTACCAAGTATCCCCATTCAGGGTCTTCCTTAACCTAAACTAGGTAGAAACAAAAAGTTGACAGCACACATCAGAATTGATGGCCAGGCATGGTGACAAATATTCCTTTTCAAAAGAAGTCCAAGGCATTTGCAATCACCATTTATAATTACCAGAGAACAAAAATACCACTGCCAGCAAGACAAAAGACCCAAAGGCTAAAAAGGAGCAAATCAAACTATTACACAGTAGCAATGAAACGCTAATGTATGTAGATTATTTTAAATGTGTAAATTAATAAAGTGTATTTATTTGTAAGACTTTTTTTATAATAAAGTTTACAAATTTTAAAAAGAGCTTATAAAAGCTGCTTCACCAAAGTCAATCATTTACGGGAAAAAAAAAACTGTAATTCTACAAGCAGGCAGAAAACAACCAAGCATAATGACACTGGGCTAAGAGACACAAACAGTGATACATTTGCCTAACACGTATAAACTCTTAGGCTCCAGTCTCAGTCTCCAGTAAGAGAGGATGACATGGGAACAGGACAAGGATGCCATTATAAAAATACCAAGATATAGGGCAGGAGAGATGAGTAGTTATGAGCATTGGCTGCTCTTGCAGAGGACCCAGGGTTCCTAAGCATCCACGTGGCAGCTCACAGCCAACTGTGAACCTAGTTTCAGGGGCTTGGACCTTCTCTTCTAACTTCCACAGGGAACCCAGCATACATGCAGGCAAAATCATCATATACATAAAACAAATCTAAAAAGAAAATGATTTTAAGTGCCAAGATACAAGTGGTAGTGGTGGGCACACTACCAATGAGGAAACTACAAAAAGACAGAGGCATTAAAGCAGAACTAAGGAAGGGAAGAACTATCATAGGTCCAGAGTTATATGACTGAGTTTCTATCTAGAGATTAAATGTAATTGTCAGTCTAGATCCAAGTAGGCGAGTCCACACACATACACATGTATGTGTCATTCTACATCATGGAGGCCATACATATTTATAGGAAGCTTAATAAAACCATTTTAAAACTTATATGAAGACATTTAGGGCTTTTAATAGCTATGTCATTGGTGAAGAGTAAAAAGAAGATCTGCGTTCACAGTCTCCAGCTAGTTCAGTTAATGAAGGTACCACCACAGGGTGGATCTGAGACAGGAATAAACAGATCAAATGAGTGATGGCAGAGGTATCAGCAGCTAACTGTAGATAAACAATGGTCTATAGAAGAATTAGAAGTAGGGTGCCTAGGCGTCAGCACAGAAAACCTTACAATGCCATACTTCCTCATACAAGACAAAAAGTTCCATCCCAACCCCTCACCTGAATATGAAGTGCCAAAATCAGGAAGTTTTAAAAATTGGAGAGTCTTTGAATCCATTGGAAAAGATAGTAATAAATGTTAAAACTAATAAACCTTTTCCCAGAAGATTCCATGGAAAACAGAAATACTGCCACAGAACAGTATATGAAAAACACAACGACCTTTGGACTCACAGTCTATTCAAAGAGTTACCTCTTTTTTTTTCAAAGACAGGGTCTCACTATGTAGCTCTGGCTGTCCTAGAACTTACTATGTAGACCAGATTGAACTTGAACTCAAAGAAATCTACCTGCCTGCCTCCAGAGTGCTGGGATTAAAGGCATATGCCATGGCACTTGGTTATCCACCATTATAAAAAGACAGATAAGCCACAGAAAAACAGGCAAAAAATGTTGTTTAAAAAAAAAAAGTGGTATGATCTAAAACAGGCAGACAGGGATGAAAAAGTACTCAATACCATGAGCAAACCAGGAGGCTTACTCCACACCCACTAGACTGACACAATTTACACATTTAGAAACAGCATGTGATGAGGGTGTAGGAGCCAAAGGTTCCGGAGTCCATGAGCATTAACAATAGGTCACAGTCAAAACAGACTTAAGTAGATAACCCCAGTTCTTGATTTTGCCTCCCAGCTCCAAATAAAACTTTAATGTCTGCTCTATGAAAACAAAGGTGTCAGACCCTCAAGACATTTCTGCTAACAGCATTGTCACCACGATTTACTCCTCCTAGGGACCTTCTCCTCTGCTCTGCTCTAGGGAGCAGTTTCTCCAGGCCCCGTTCCCACAAAGCATGGCATCAGCAGTGCTAACAGCCAGAACCCAAAAACCTGAATTAGTTAACATAACAAAGAAACTGAATACCAAATTCCTGTTTATACCAACAGATAAAAATACTTAAAAAAGAAAAAATTTAAAACTCAAATATGTCTCACAGCCTATTCACAGAATTACATTATTTCCTGTCTACTTTCCTGAGTTTTTAAAAAATTAGTTTATAATAAATGCTTATTGAGTGTTTATTATATAAAAGTACCAACCTTTTTTCAGGTAAGTCACAATTTTAAAAGAGATATTAATATGTCTACTAAACACTAGCTAAAGGTGGACTTCCACCATGCTCAACAGCACTACCTGTCAGTACCTGCTCTGCAATGAGCCAAGGAACCAGGAGTGCAACCACCCCAAGAGTCTCAGACTGGAGATGAGGTCAGAGAGGCCCCGCCTGAGCCCTGGGATTATCCACAATTCTCAACTCCTGATTCTCACTATTTCTTACCAGTCAATACCATTAATTTATGACAGCAACTCTTTACATTAAATCTTACTACCCAGCTGGGTATGGCGTTTAGGCCTAAAACCCCAGCATACAGGAAGTGGAAACAGAAGAATAACGAGTTCAACATCAATGTGGGTTGAATAGCAAAAACCCAGCTCATATGCAAATACACAAAAAAATTCTCATTCAAATTACACAGTGGTTGCTGTCTCCTCTTGAACCCTTACTAGCAGAGTGAATGGAGGGGACAAAGGGAGGGAAGAGAGACCAGTAGGGAAAAGTGGCATCAAGTAGGAGCCTCAGAGAACAGTAACCTCTAAACCAGTCATGGTAAGCAGAGAGTAAGTCAGTGATTTTAAACAAGAAAATGTAATATACGGGATTAAAAGAGAAGCAACACTGAGGCAGCACACAGGTCGAACTACAGGAACCAGGTAGGCCCCAGGAACTGGAGGAGTGCAGGCAAGAGGCTGGGCTGGAAGAACCCAGGAGCCTGGCAGCTTCCTACAAAACTGTGCCCAAGGTTCAAACACGCAATTCTTAAAAGTACTCAAAGAAAATAATGCACCAAGAATTCCAAAACTAAAACTCAAGGGCTTCTCACAGCCTGCTCATAAAATTGTATTTTCTTCTGTTTACTTTTCTGAGTTTTTAGAAGTTCTATTATAAATGCTTACTGTATGTCTATAATATAAAAGTATCAACCTTTTTTCCCAATAAGCCATAATTTTAAAAATTATTAATAGTTTTACTAAATACTTCAGATTATAACACTCAAATTTAACATGCAAAAAGAGGGAAAGGAATATTCTGACCTGACAGTCAAGCAGAACAAGAGCTCCTCAGACAGACAGACAGACAGAGAGAGAGAGAGAGAGAGAGAGAGAGAGAGAGAGAGAGAAAGAGAGAGAGAGAGAGAGAAAAGCAGCAAAAAACTCTGAAAATTCAAAACATCATTCTGGGAAATAAAAGACTTACAGATGGCCTAGGCTCAAGCAAGAAGACTGCAGGCAAGTAAAATAACAGTTTACTTTACCAAACAGCTTATCAACTGATCTTTATGTAAACACTAAGAATAGTGCAAAGCCCCTAAAAAATGCCAGCATTATTTTTACAGATTAGGAAAGAATATATGCCAAAAACAACATCAATAGCTCAATTAAAATAACTCATACTTGTGTTTACACAAAATTTGATGACCATAATATATTTGTCAGACCACTGCAATTATTGCCTGAAAATAATACTCTAAATATTATTTTGACAATATAATTACAGTTCTTACCTCAGAAGCAGTAACAAAAAACTGGCACAGTTACCCTGACAACAATCCTCCTAAAATAAGGTTCTCAGAGAAAGAATTAACAGATAGTGAAATCAGAACACTTTTTATAATGCTATTTCATTGGGTTTGAACTATGGCACTATGAAAATAACTTCTGAGCTTCTTATTAAATGCAAATGTCACTGTTGAATTCCAAATAAAAACCAGGGGCTTTCCTTTCCTAGAGGTGGTGAGAAATACCACAAACTTTCCTTTTCCTCCTTGTCTCTCTTCCAATTCTGCCACAGAATACCGGTTAGCTACTTAAAACAGACAGCTGAAGTCTTAAAAAAAAGTTTTCATTTCATGGACTAGAAGACCCAATGTTGTCAACATGGCAACTCTTCCCAAACTAATCTGCAGACTTAGCATAATCCCTAATATCTACAATATATTACATAAGTAACTTCTACAATTCAACAATAAAACACAACCACAATCAAGAAAAAGAAACTATGCAAAGAAAAAGAAACTGTGCAAAGGACTCAAACAGACATTTCTCCAAAACTTTATAAATGCCCAATACATACATGAAAAAAATGTTCATTATCAATAGTCATTTGGGAAATGCAAATAAAAACCACACATTACTTTCTACCCACTAGGATGACTTAAACCAAAAAATTGAAAGTGTCAGCAAGGAAATGAAGAAATTAGAACACACACTGGTGATATAATGTAAATGGCTCCACTGTATTGGGAAATAGTTTAGTGGCTCCCCAAAACAGGAGCTGGAAAGAGGGCTCAGCAGTTAAGAGTACTTGCTACTCTAGCAGAAGATTGACAAGATTCAGTTCCCAGCACCCATGTCAGACAACTTAGAATCACCTGTAATTCTAGCCCCAGGAGATCCAAAGTCCTCCTGTGACCCCTGTAGACACCCAAACATAACGTGGACAGAGACAGGCAGATGGACAGAGACAGGGAGAAGAAAGTAGAAAGGCAAAGACACAGAGACAGAATGAATCCTTAACATGGTAATTAATACTCAGGTCCAACAATTCTAATCCTAGGCACATACTCCAAAGAACTGAACACAGGCACTCAAATACATGTACACATTCAAAGTATTATTCATCATTGCCAAAAGGTGAGAACATCCTGTGTTCATCAACTGATGAACGGAAAACAATATAGTATTATTTAATCCAAAAGAACAAAATGCAGATGCATGCTAGAATGTGACTGAACCTCAAAAATAAGAGAAATCAGACCAAGGGCCATGTAGTTCTACAATTCCATTTATCTGAAATATCCAGAATAAATTAATTTACAGAGACAGAACATTAAATTGTGGACACCAGAGGCAGAGAGAAGGAAAGAGAGAGAAATTGCTTTTCTTATACCTTTGAGCATAAGAAAACATTTTTAATTCTGTACAGGTATTGGTTGCGCAATATTAGACTGTTCTAAATGCCACTCAACCGTTCACTTTAAAAAAGTTAGTTTTATGTTAAGTGAATGACTTGGGAGACATAACTAAATGATAAAATGCTTGCCTAGCATGCCCAAGGCACTAAGTTTACCCCAGTACTACCAGGGGGAAAAATATCAATTAGTTAAACTGATAGTATTGAAGCTATCTAAATTATAAACAACTCTTAATGTGTCCTTTATAAAATAAGACTAAGGCTAGCAATATAGCTCAGTGGCAGACAGAAGCTTTCCTACCATACTGGAGCCCAAAGTTCAATTCTCAGCTCCACCAAAATTGAAAAAACAAACAAATAAAAAAAAATCCACAGGGATCTATTCTCTAACATCAATCAATGTATTCTTTCACCACTTAGCTATGTTATAAAAGCATGTTTAGGATCTTCCCCTTTCTATTTTTCTTGGGTTATCCAACTCAATGAAGAAAGGATGAAACAATCATTAATCATATTCTGCACAAAAATAAGTCTTGCACAGGAGATTCGGGATAGCACAAAAAAGAAAGAGGAAGTGCAGAATCAAGGAAAGAAGTCTTATGGTGGAAAGCAAGAGACTGTACAACGTGATGATAAGGATGCTGGAGGGCAGAGGAGCGCATGGGATGCTGAGAACAAATGGCATAATTTTAAGAGAAATCTATGTGTGGGTGAGTGGGGCTAGTACCCAAGGTTTAAGGGGAGGGGTTAGCTCCCCTCTAATAGCGCTGAGTCATAACACTTGCCACACAAATACACCACTAGAAGAAATCAGCCGACAGACAGCTGATATGTCCATAGACAGCTGTCACTGTTTTCCAGCAATTACAAAATGGTCTGCATCTGAACAGTGGTTGAATTACAGACCTCACAGACTGATTTTTCCTTGCAACACAATGAAACTTGTTACTTTATCATTGTTTTTAAATCCTCCAACTCTGAGTACCAAGGCCTCATCATAAAGCAGAGCTACAAAAAAAAAATACCTTTAATATTAAACATCTTTAAAATACTTTACAAATAAATTCTATGTTCTATCAACCTCTTAAAATACTGCTACTCAGGAAAGTTTAGAGCCGAGATGTCATCTATAAACTCTTAGACAATGTAGCTAACTTTTAGGAATCATCACTTTCTGTCACACCAGGTGTAACTGATTTAAGATTTAAAAGACGCATACTAAATCAAATAGTAAGACTCCAAAATCGTAGTAAAATGAATCTGAAATGAAATAAATGCCTTATATTATATAAAAACGGGAGTTAAGAAATAATTGTAAGGGCTGGAGAGATGGCTCAGAGGTTAAGAGCACTGACTGCTCTTCCAGAGGTCCTGAGTTCAATTCCCAGCAACCACATCGTGGCTCACAGTCATCTGTAATGAGATCTGGCGCCCTCCTCTGGCATGCGGGCATACATGGAGGCAGATGTTGTATACATAATAAATAAATAAATCTTTAAAAAAAAGAAGAAATAATTGTAAATCAAATCTATTTTAAATGGTTAAATTTCCCCCGAAGGGAAGTATTTACATTAAATATGGTAAAGGTGTTGTCTATTATAACAATTACTTTAACCCATAACATAGTATATCTAATAAGCATGGATACTTACATTAAGATTATATCAAATAATTTACATTTACTCATAATATCTCATTTCCTTAGAGAAGAAGATCATATACAAAAACTTTATTTTTTAACTTAATGATGTGGTAAGATAATAATCTTTGTAGAAAGGAGAAGCAATAACCCTACTAATACAGAAAACTAAATGGCTTCAAAATAGTCTAAGAGCCTTCCAGTCTTTCCAGCTAAGAAGCTGAGCACTGTTCTTAATCCCACATTAACAGCTGTTAAGAAGAGCTACCTTCCCCTTCTGTCACATTAAGTAATGGACTGACTAGTTTCTTAACTCCTGTTTTACATAAGGCATGTTTATATTAATGCTACCTGACACCCTATTCCCAGTGGATAGGTAAGCACTAGAGGTGGGACTCTCACAAGCAACAAAAGGAATCATAGAGGTGAGTAGTACTAGACTGCAATCTGACTTAACAGACTTAACATATCCAGGTCTCCTCACTGGAATGTGAGTTCCTGGGGGCAGAGGTGTCTGCTTTGGTCACTGCTGGAATCACACCCATATTAGTTACTTTTATCTTCACTAAAATAAAATACCTGAAAGAAGTAACTTATGGTAGGAAGGATTTATTTTGGCTCAGTCCATCGTGGAGGAGAAATGACAGTGACAGGTGGAGCAGCGTGGCTAGAGCAGTGGAAATCATAACAGGATACATTGCCTGATCAATCAGGATGCAGAGATCTCAGGGAGAACTAGAGATAGACTGTAAGCCTTAAGCCCTGCCCAATATGGTGCTATATCAGCCAGCTAGACTCTATGTCCAACCTCACAACACAGTGCTACTAGCTGAGGATCAAGTGTTCAAACACAGGAGTCTGTGACGGGCATTCATATTCAAACCAAAAGCAGTGTCTGTCACATTTCTAAGTAACACAAGGCAAGGCATCAGACATCCCAGGTTATTACTGCAAAGAACCACAAACTAGACAGCTTCAAACAATTACCTTCTACCATTCTGGAGACTAGAAGTCCATGACTAAGATGCCACCAGTGCTGATTTCTCCTGACACCTCTCTTCCTGACAATAGTCTGCAATCTGCTTCCTGTGTCTTCACATGGTGTTCACCTATGTGTTCTACTATCCTTTTCTCAAGAAGACACCAAATTTCTTTACTGTACTTTAATAACCTCCTGTAAAATCTTATCTTCAAACACAGTCATATTCTGGACACTGGAAGTTAGGATTTTGCTATGGTCTGAATATGTGTGTCCTTCGAAAATTCATATGCTGATTGTCAAATCTCCAAAGTGTTGGTAGTAAGCAATGGGGACTGTGAGTGTTAACTAGATCTAGCAGTTAGTGCCTCTTATAAGAGTTCAAGAGTTCCTTTGCCTCCTTCTGCCCCTCTACTCTGTAAGGACACAGCAAGAAGTCACCTTCATTGAGTCAGAGAGCAAGCCCCTACCACACAATAAATATGCTGAAACCCTGATCCTGAGCCTCCCAGCCTTCTAGGTTGATAAATACCTGCCTTTATTAATTAACTAAGCTAAAGTATTTTGCTGCAGCAGCTCATGCAGACTAAGAGAAGCTTCAGCATAAGAAGTTGGGAAGAAACAAGTCAGCCTACAACAGGACAGAAAGGAAGTCACAGTAACTTTCCTTCACAGTAACTCTAACATTCCATGAAATACAGAACATGTTTCAGTGAATGACTAAACACTCAGAGCATTAGTTTTAAACATTTTTCAAGATAATAATCTATTAAGTATACTGCACATTACCTGTTAGCAAAGAGTCTTGTTCCACTCGAAGTTCACGAAAGAGAAGAACCAAATCAACAGCAACGCCAATTGTATCCAGGTTCCTGTATTAAATTTTAAGACAAAATTAAATTAAATACATGCTCTTCTCTAATGCTGAATTTCAAATGCTGATTTAATGTATATGCTGAGACTATTGATCAACAGTTCCTACAGCGGGCAGAATAACAGCTTCCAGAGATGTGCATATCTAATTATTACCGTATCTGGTAAAGAGAACTTTTCAGACAAGACCAAATCAGTAATCTTGAGATGGAAGGATTGTTCTGAGTTAAATGGAGATCTAATATATCACTAGGCTCATTACAGACGGAACACAAGAAAGTTGGAACCAAGAGAAAGGAGGCTATATGCCAAGAAAAATGGTAGGGCTGAAAGCTGGCAAGGCAAACTGATACTGTCACAGAAGCCTCTAGAAAGAAGTACTATCTATGCCAACCCCTTATAGACTGTTGAACTCCCAATTCGTAAGATAACATATGTGTGTTATTTAAGATTTTGATAGTATGTCAATGCAACAAAAGCAAAGTAACACAGATCTTTGACACAGCATTGGTGGGGTGCAGCTATACAAATACCTGAAAAGGGAAGAGACTCTGGTCAGCGGGCAAAGGCTAAAAGAACCCTAAGACACATGGACAAAAAAATCACAGTGCCTTAGACAGACTTCTGGTAGAAACGCACACATGAAGGCACAGCTGGCAACGTTTGGAAGAAAATGAGAACATGTTATTAGAGACTACAGGAATGGGGATCTCTGCTATGTAGTGCCAAGAGTCCTTGGACAACATCCTACAGCTGTGAGGAAAGGAAAGAGAAACGCCTCAAACTGCCCAGTGTACTGTGATCTTCTGCCTACTGGATTTGAGAAAAGATACTTATTTCCTAGTGTTACAGGTCCCAGACAAAGAGGAACTTTGTCCCAAGATGGATCACTATACAGTTTCATATGTAACTTAGGTAACCCAGAGGATTAGATGTGGGACTTCTAGCTAATGAGGCCTAGAAGGCATTCTGAACATGAGCTGACGCTATAATGGGTTTAGAATGTGGGAGACCTTAGGATAGCACCAAAACGTATTTTGAATGTAAATAATGTGAATGTTTAAGATCAATGGGTGAACTAGGATAGCAAAAGAACCTAAACTCCTTATCAGTTTATTTGTTTTTAAGTGACCTTATATTGGCAAGAGACACAGTAATGATGCAATCTGTAGTTGGTCTTTGTCCTGAGCACCTGGTGGGGCGATCCTATACTTATAGGAACCCTTATACTTCCCTGAATGATAGAAACACCTTCTGATCACATCTGAATTTATGCTCGAAAAGCAACCCAGACACAGATTCAGAATGGTGTCCCTGCTGCCAGAAGACCCAACTTTCAGTCTCAGAGAGGCAAGCAAGATGAAAACTGAATTCAATACCCACAACCAATGGTTTAAATTAACCATGTCTATATAATGAAAACTCCATTAAAAAACTAACGTTGGAGCCTGGAGCGCCTGAAGGTTGATGAGCACATCAAACTGCCAGAAGGATGGCATACCAGGGAGGACATGGAAACATCACCCCACCCTATACCTTGTCCTGTGCATATTCATCTACCTGGATGTTCCTAGTATATACCCTTTATAATGACCAGAAACCTCCTTTCTTGAGTTCTGTGAATTACTAAAATTGAGGGAACCCTACCGTGGAACCCTCAGCTTCAAGTCTCTATCCTTCCCCACCTGGGAAAGTACAAAAGAAACTGGCATTTTGGCCAGTGTTTCCAGAACATAACGTTGTTTTAAAATACTGGTATTGGGCTGGAGAGATGGATCAGCAGTTAAGAGCACTTGCGGCTCTTCTATAAGGTGCAAGTTCAGTTCTCCACACCCACCAGGTCCAGCTCCAGAGGATCCTACTCCCCGGACTCAAAGAGCACCCATAATACATATGTGGCAGACACACAGACATAAAAATAAAAAACAAATCTTTAAAAATGTTTTAAAATTTAATTAGTTAAAAAAATCAAAGTATTAACTATTATTAGTAAGATTATTGCCATTTCTATAAAGAGGTGGCAGGTTTGTTTTAGTATTGATGTTAAAACAACTCTACCTTTTCCTCTTTTCCTTTCATCTTAAAAATCTCATTAATCATATCAAAGCCGCAGGTATAAGACTGTCTAAGCAGCCAAGGGAATCAAATGTCTCCTGGACCATCTCAACTTCACCCATCACAACAATGATGGAGAGGCCTTGAGGCCCTGTCTAGATGCAAATCCAGGAAAGAAAGGTGAACGTCCTGCTTGTGACCTCAGACTTCATTTCAAGTAAAATATTCTTTAAAAGAAAAATTAATAGTAGTTGATTCTATAAAAGTAAGAGGGAAAGCCAGGCACAGTAGTGCACACCTTTAATCCCAGCACTTGGAAGGCAGAAGCAGGTAGATCTCTGAGTTGAACGCCAGACTGGTATAGAGCAAGTTGTAGGACAGACAAATCCTGTCTCAGAGAAACCCTGTCAAAAAAAAAAAAAAAAAAAAAAGAACAAAAAGGGGGAATAAACACAGCAAGAGAAAGAAGCTGGGCTCTAGGTGTAAAAGCTGTACAACATAAAGAGCGACAGAGAGCATCCTCTGGTCAGGACCTAACACTTCTCAAAAACAGGCACAGCCTAAGACAGACGGAAAGTGCTCCAAGCTTAGGAGTCTTAAAACAGATAATCTCAGGAACTTATGAACTATTCCTACTCAATGTAAATACAGGCTATCTGAAACAATTGCAGTTAAAAGAAGGCCAAAAACTACATGTGAACTTGGGCAAGCCAAACCTAGAGATATGGAACCAATGCCAAACTCAAATCACTGTCATATGAAGTATCAAATATTTTAAGTTACAAATTACAAACAGGAAAGCTGAATAATCTCTCTTGTTAAACAAGAGAATACAAGAAATAAAGGATGTTTTCCTGTAGAGGTAAAGGTCAGTTTTGTAAAAACAACAGGTAATGCTATAAAGCCAAAACATTAGCCAACATATAAAAAACACTCGGGGGAATGTGTGTCACTACCTGATAGAGTTCTGGTTCACAGAACACTCTATACACGCATTCCGAAGACATCTGAAGCATTCAGTGATTAGCTGAAGACTGGAAGCCAGGTGCTCCACTTGGGAAGAATCCCTGCAGGCCAGCTCAACAGCATGAGTAGATTTCTTTAAGATATCCAGGACTCTCTGGAAGATTGTTCTGGGTGCTGTTTCCCTGGAAAAAGACAGAGTTGTTATAACCGGGATGGGGGGGGCAAGCGGGATATACTGACTGATTTCCAAATGTCCCATCCCCAAAACTGCTTTACCTACTCCAGAGGCAGGGGAATCTAGGTTTGCCTATTCCAGCTCCTTCATTATGAAACAGAAGTTATAAGCTGCAGTGTAGACTGAGTAGCTACGATGTGTGGGGCGCTACTGTTCGTCCTTACATGTTCTCTCGCTCCACCACTGAAATGTCTTAATCAACAGTGTCCTCTCCATTCTATGGGCAATGGAAGAGAAGGAGTTGCTTGCCCACATCACCTGGCCAAATGAATGCCAGAGCCATAATTCCAATTAAAGTTCTTTGGTTCCAGTACTTGCATTCCCCAGGACAATCCAAATCCAGTACAGATGAAGTCTCTTGCTTATGGATCTGTCACTACCCACTATGGGCCTTGCCCTGGGTTCTGGGAAACAATATTCTAGAAGGACTATGTAGAGGACAAGAGAACACTGTCACTGTTCTCTTTAGATCCCATGAAGCCAGCAACAACCATACCAAATTTTGCACGTTGAGAGGGTGAGAGAGAGGGAGCAGGAGGGTTTGTAGTGTGCCAGCTCCCCATGAGGATGAGTGTCGGCAGAAAGATGACCTACAGCTGCATTCTCAGGCACCTCAGTCTTGGCATGCTTCTCTCATGCCAGAAGTATAGCCTACTATCATTCCAAGGCTCTGAAGATGACATTTTTTTTTTTTTGGTGTAATCTGGTACTTAAATGAAAGTCAATTTCCTCATTTCATAAATCCCCTAAAGAAACAGTAATTTGCTTATAAAGACAGAAGAAAAACTGGGTGACACACGCCTTTAATCCCAGAACTTGGGAGGCAGAGGCAGGCAGGTCTCTGAGTTCAACGCCAGCCTGGTTTACAGAGAAAGTTCCAAGACAGCCAGGGTTACACAGAAAAACTCTGTCTTGATACATAAATAAATAGACTGAAGAAAAACTGCCATGTTAGCAGTTAGATATGTTAGATATTTAAGAAACTCTTAGGGACAGTCCTGACCATCTCTGAGTATTCTCCTCTGTCCTCAATGTAGAATGACAGGATTAAGTCAGACCACAGAAACTCCAAACTAGTAACAACCTTGTGCTGCCTGGACATCACCAAAGACATTCCATCAATGTCCCTTCACCCAGGACCAGGGGACACAGCCATGGCTTCTTGTGTATTATCTAGTATGTTTTAGTCTTACAGACACAGAAATTCTATGTTTTCCTATGGCTGGATCTTTGAAAAATCCAGAGACAAATATACAGCTCATGTTTTACAACAGTCTGAATTCCACTTTATCTGCTTTTCTCTTCTCCCCAATTTCCTTACTTATCTCTTTCACAGACATAAACAGGAGGCAAAACTCAGGGCCTCCCACATGCTAAGCAACTGCCAATGACCTACAACTCTACCCTCTTCCCTTATTTTTTTTTAAATTTATTTAATTTTAAGGTACCTGAAACTTGTTTCAGGAAAGAGGCAGTGTATTGATTAACTAACTAAAAACTGAGAAACACACACAATTATCTGCTTGCACCTTCATTCCTCCAGTCAGCACTGTCTCCACAGACAGGTCATAAAACTTGCACCCAGTGTTTTAGCAACTTAGTGACCAAACAAAAAAGTGAAATTCACCTGCCTCGGCAACTATAACAAGCAATCATTTATGTAACACATTTTTGCTGACGATACCAGCAGGAAAATTTTAAAAATGAACATTTACTAGCACTCCCGTGATAGCATTAAGGATTAACGAATATGCTGGAGAAAATACTCAAGAGGGTGAAACACTGGAGAATGACAAGAGTATCACAAATTTCCGACAAGGTTAAATCTAATTACCTGTATGTGTTCTGATGCAGTTTCAACATTTATTATCTGGTCTTACAAATAAAAATAAAGGGCTGCGGTAGCTCATGGCACCACATTTGACGAGTATGCAAATTCTAGGTTCAAACTTTAGTAGCGCAAAAATAGTAAGAAAACAGTTCTACAACTAGAATAATCTACAGTAATTTCTCTATTCTCCTCAGGTGGCTAAGAGGTGTGATTCACACCTGTGATGACGGAGCTAGTCTTAATTCTTTCAGCGGGTCCTTCACAGATGCCACTGTCCACAAGGAACAGTCTTCCCTGAAAACCAGGCATCCCTCGAGCTCTTACCACCTGCCTTACTAAAACTGACAACTGAAGCAGCACAAAACTAGGGTGACAGACTGAAGAAGATAGTTATTCTCAAGAATAGTGGTGTTTTATAATGTATAGAACAGTTAAGTTCATTAACTAACCTACAAATATAATTCCCAGTTTTACAAATCCATTTGTCATGGATGCACTGGGTCCTTATTATACTTTAATAGCAACAAATAAAATGGAACTGAAGACCCTTCAAAAGATTCCTGAAACCCAAATGACCATAAATAGCTCCTACACAGTAAGCTCACATGGCACAAATGTCAGATACAAATAACTTGTGTTTGTAGAATGAAAAAAATAATAATTCAGGAAAGTGATCCTTGTTATTTGCTGTCCCCAGGTTCTAGACCTATGGGTTCCTGAAAGCACCATGCACTCCCAATGTCCTGTGCCCTTCCACCAACATACACTTGTCACACAGTCCCCACCCAGTTCTTTGCCCTCAAGAACTTGGTCTGTGGTTCTCATTCTAAGGAAACTATTCTACCACTGAGCTACACCCTCCAGCCTAAACATCTCCTTTTTCAGAAATCTCTTGAAGACCATATCCCTGGTGAAACTCATCCACTACTCCAATCTGTACGCCCTAAACTCTGTACTCCTGCAAACTAGAGACAAGCTGGCTCTTGTATCCCTAGTCCACTGCATCACTAACAGATTTTCAAATTTCTACCTTAAACAACAAGGACATCTAGCACAAGGAAAGTGGTCCAGGCCTGCACCGTGTTATCCAGGGAAGTTGGTACACATGGAGGCAGTACCTAAGAAACATTAACTTAATTCTTTTTCTTCCCATTAAGAGAGCCACATATTCTAGATGCAGAAACTAGAAAAGCAGTCACCTTGTAAGACGTGGCTCTAATGTAGGCAGATGTCGTGATTCCTATTTAGAATATTTCATTTCTCCTTCCCCATTAGTTACTACAACAGATTAATTTGTAAGGAGAGTCTATAGCTCAAACTGACTGTATTTTAAACTTCCCAAAGATGGAGAATATGTCTTAAATGCTTGTTTCCCTGTACAAAAGCTGAGACAAAAAATTCCTGCAGGGTCTTATGGCAAATAGCTATGGATTCAATTAATCCTACCTGAAATAATACAAACATGAATACTATCTATTAGATGAGGACAAAGATGTTCTTCTCAACAACAGTAAAAGCATTCACCTCTCCCCCACTACTCTCCCTTCTCCAAAGCCTTGAAAGAAAACTACTTGGCATTACAGTTCTGCACAGTCTGTGTTCACAGTCAGGACAATGTAATGCATCTAAATATGTAATGATTAACGACAATGAAATAGCTGGTAAAGATCAGTCAGTCGTCCCCATATTACAAACATTATTAATAATAATTGCTGTCAGTTCTACTTTAACCAAACTAACAAAAATATTCACAAAGGCTTTAAGAAGCTTAGCTACTTCATTCGCAGAAGGCAGGGTACTTATGGAGACAATTAAACTTCAGCCGTTAGACGTCCCTATTAGATAGGAATGCATACCCTGAAGACAATGTATAAATGAAATGTTGTATTAGAGGACAAAAAAATTCCTTGGAGTTACACAAAAGGTAGAATTTCATTTCCTTCAAGTTTCAACACATTTGTTGGTCTTGGCAAGTCCTGTTTGAGTAAAATTAAAGAAAACTACCTGTGATTATATGTCACAGGTTAGACAAGCCTAATATACCATATGTATACACATTTTACAGTTAATTTATCAGTAGACCTCCTACTGAAAAGGAAACTATCTGCTAGACATTGTAACTGCAACTAAGACTATCGCACTTGTTTAAGAATTATTCTAATACCGACCACTGCATTAAAAATAACTGGCTTGTGTATTTAGAGTATTTTAACCACTGTTGCTAAGAAAAATAATTAAAAGCTCGTAGATTTTTTTTCTAATTGCTGGTTGTTACATAAAACCATAAACTTTGCCTACTGATTTGGTCTGGCTGATCAAAAGCAGAAATTATGTATATCAACTGCCACAAAGAGCCTAGAGCAAAATTCTGGACTCCACCTTTCCCAAGACCAAGCCTCTTCTTTATGCATTCTACCCTCTCCGCTCCCATCCAGGCCCAGGTGGTCCCTGACAGCCCTAACAATCCATTCTGCTGGGTCACAGAAGTTGTGTGTAAAGAGCATCTCAGCAAATATTTCAGGCTCTGACGGCCAGAACAACTTATCAACCCTGCCCTTTATCACAGAAAGAGCCTTAGATGCCAGTGAAACAAATGAACATGGCTAAGTTCAATAGAACTCTACTGTGTCAGGGCTGGAGAGGTAGCTTACTGGTTAAAAATGACTACTGCTTTCGCAAAGGACTGGAGGTCCTTCCCAGCACCTCATCAGGCTGCTTACAACCTCCTGTAACTTCAGATCTAGGGGCTCCAACACCAATCTGCCTCTGAAGGCACTGGCACTCATGGACACAGACATCCTCCCAAACATAATCCTAATTAAAAGATAAACAAATCTTTAAAAAAACAACTTCATTACAGCCAAGCGTGTAGCTTATTGTGCTGTAACACTGGCATCTGGGAAGCTGAGAAACGGGGATGTCAAGCTCAAGGCCATTCTGGCCTACACAGCAAGACCTTGTAACATCGCAGTTTAAAGTTCCCATGACTTTCAGATGGCAACTACTTAAATGTACAAACCACCCTTCATTCATGGGCCATAATAAAACAGGTGGTGAGCCAGGTCTGGCAACTCCTGCCTTACTAAGATTCCTAACATACCATAGTCTTCTCCCGA